ACAAATAGAGGTTGGATAGTAGTGTGCACCACTGAGTTTGAGACACAGACAAGGGCAAATAAAAAAAGTTTCTCTTCTGCTGATACACTGAGCAGCATTATTGGATTCCTCCAAGATTCTGAGTCGGAACTCCGACTTTCCAGTTAAAAGTTCCTACTGGAAACTTGGAATTTCCAACTTCTGAGTACAAATGGAGCGCGCAGTATTACAGACTCCTAGAACCAACATTTACCATCAGAATAATTTTGAAACTGATATTTCAAAGTAAAAAAAAACTTACATATAGTTGGCAAGAACCAACTTTAAAATGCACATTTTAATGAAATATTAAGGTTTAAAATCCTGTAATACAATTTATTCTGTTGACCAAAACAATGACTTGTTGTGTTACATTTTAGATTTTTTTGCACTTTTTAAGAATTATTTTCTGCTTTATAACATTTTACTGTTTGACAATCCACTAATCAGCTAATTATGCCAACATGCCCCATAAGGGCATTTTTCCATGGCATTGATGGATGAAATAGAGCTTTCTTTATAGCCAAGACTTATGTGTCTATACAGAAAATAAACGTACTCTGAGACACATTCACTAGATTAAATCTGTCCTTTCAAAGAAGAAAACAACACCTTAAACATCCTTTGCTCAAACCAGTGGTGTCACCTGGCTGCTTTTCTTGTGCAGACTGCTCAAGTTCTGCACTTCAAAGAGCCTTTTGCACCTGAAGTACCTCTAAAAGTGGTAGCGAGAACCTCATCTGCATTTCAACAGCATGAGTTTAGTTAAAGACCAAAAACAAGTTAAACATTTTGTCCCCCTGGAAGGTTTCTTGTATAAGATGCTCTTTACATCACAAATATCCCAAAAATAGCATAGACCTGTGCAGTAAATCATAGGTAAGAACCAGTGAAGTGAGTTTAACATTTTCCATTCTTGGTTCACACGTCAAGGTCTAGCCGTCATCACAGACTGCAACGCACCTGCCACCGAAGTGACTCAAACTCCCACTGCACATCTAATCAAGCATTCGGTTACGCAGCAGACAGCCTGATCGTTGTGATTTCTTTTTCTATTTTTCCTGAGATGAAATAGCGTTATTCGTAATGACACTTTCCTCTCCGGCCTGCCTTCGTTGTCTTTCGTGCTCTGCTCCTTTTATTATCTTCTGTCTGCAATCCTTTTCCCAGGGCCTGAAAACTCATTATTCACCCAAATTGATGTGATTACCAGTTCTCAAAAATACACCAGTGGAGATTTCTTGGATTTCATTTGTTTTTAAATGATACTGTCATGTTCAAATGGAGACTGTGGAATTAATTTTGACCCTTAATTGCGTCAAGGAACAAAACGTCAGAAAAAGCAATAATCTAGTCTGTATAGTACATGTGTTTGTCTATCTAATCTTTGACAAATTCACTTCTACTAAAATTCCAGCTGCTGGAGACATAACGAGTGAAGGTTATATCTTGTGTAGACGGTTATGACATTCTCACTGAACATTCAGTGAACTAAAAATACTTTTCATCTCCTCAGCCAACCTCAACCAAATTTTCTTGAAAAGTTTTCTTGAAAAACATCTCAGGTTTTGCATGTAACCCTGGCTCCCCGAGAGGGAACGACACACTGCGTCCTCTAGTGGACACTATGGGAAATGCCATCAGCATGACCGATGTCTGAAGCACGTGTGAAAACACTCCAAATCCATTGGACCGTGCAGCCCGTGACATCATTAGCAGCATCCCAAGAAGTATAAGAGGGCACCTGTAATGCACGTCATCAACTTCTTTGTCTGAAGGAGACGTGAAACAAGCAGGCCCTAGGCATGGCAAGGGGATGCAGTGTCTTGTTCTCCCTCTCGGGGAACCATGGTCACATGCGAAGCCCGAGACATTCCCCTTCAAGGGAACTCGCACTGCATCCTCTAGTGGAGACTATGGAGAACGAAATACCCACTATGCCATGCCTTGGTGCATTGCCTGTCCACCAGGGGGCTGTTTCATAAAACAAGTTACCAAATAAACCAGGCTTATTTCAGTTAGTCTGACTTATTTTCACTTGATTTGGTTTCATAAAGCAAAATTACCATAGCTCAGTCACTCTGGCAACTTAGGGAAACTAACCTGGTCCGGAGCAGGCTAACTGTCAGGCTAAGCTGAGCTCCTCTAACACTGACCAATAGGAACACATTGATATTACGGCGCTGACTCTCTCACATACAATTATTTGACGTTATCACTCCAAAAATAAAAGTATACAGAAAATGCAACTTAAATAAATCAAATAAATAAAAATATAGGCTACAACCGACTGTATTTAATGTATTGTGCCCAAGATATTTAACTAATTTGAGCTAGTAATTTAGGGCTGTATTAGCTAGCTTACATTTGATTTACAGTTACTGCTATCATAAAAATACACTTATATGTAGGATTAAAATTCTACATGTGTCACATTTAATGTCCAACAACAAATATTTTAGCAGAATGCATATTTTATTCAGAATTATTGCGCAGTTATTCTATTGTGTTCCATCTGTTTAGCGCGCATGCGCGCAGCTGCGCTCGTTCACTCATGTAAGCCTCGCCCACTCCTGATAGCAAAATGCATATATTTGCATGACTTTCTAACATTTACAGATGAAAAATATACCTGTGACGTGTCAGTTATGCACTGAGGAAAACACAATGTCTCAAATGCATTAAACGGCACAAATATTCGCTGTTTGCCATGGTGGATCGATTTGATCCATGATCGACATTAAGGGCTGCTTAAGAATAAGCGTGCACATCAAATTATCAATTACTCATTGAACCTGGATCGAATTAGTGAGATTGTGTGAACTTAAATGGTCGTTTATGAAACTGCTTTAGTTCTGATTGATTTGTTAGGTTATTTCAAGTCAGGGTTTGGACTTTAATCCCCGCTTTTCTTAGCGTCTTTTATGAAACAGCCCCCAGGTTAGAGAGCACCAAAAATAGTGGCAAACATACACAAATTTAAAAAGGGGGGCATGCCAATGACCAGGGTCGCATTAAGACCGCACTGGGCCCCGGGGCTATGACTTACTGCAGGGCCCCCCCAGGCCCACCTTAAGAAAAAATGTGCCATTCACTGCGCCTAAAATGTATAATTGCAGAAAAAATATATACGTTGCAATGAACATTAAAGGATCAACAGATTTTGTGTGAAAATAAATCATTCAAGTTGTTTATTTTGTTTAAAAATCGTATAAAAGTATGAGGTGGCAAGAGGGGCCTTTTACCCCACACACGGGGTAAAAGGCTCACCAGCATGGGGTAAAAGGCACAAGGTGTTTATACAAATACTTCAGCTAAAATAATGTTTTTTTTAAAAAATAATGTCTAAGTTAATACTTGTTCGGGGCTTCAGCCCCGCCTAGCCCAATGGTTAAAACGGCCCTGCCAATGACGCCCGGACAGCTAAAATAACTTGGGTGAAATGTGGAACCCAACCAACTCTAATATTAAGGAGGGACTTCCCATTCAACCAAGTTAGAGCCGAATGCGCTCCGTACAGACACTAGATACACTCATGCACAAAATGCATCAATCATGCATGTCCTCAAACGGAGGCATGCACTACCTGAAATGTTTTGCAGAGTGTTTCCTACACGTACACAAACAAACGGCTCCTGAAGACAAAAGAAGTTAATGACGTGTATTACAGGCGCCCTCTTATACTTCTGGGCATGCCACTAATGACGGATTTGGAGTTTTTTTCACACGTGCTTCAGACACTGTCATACTGATGGCATTCCCCATATAGTGTCCACTAGAGGATGCAGTGCGAGTTACCTTGAAGGGGAACTGGAATTTGAGTTTACGCATAACTGTAAAATACGCTTAAATAATGTTTCTTTGAAAAAATGTCTAGTTGGAGAAAAACAATATCTGTTTCAATCTATAATCCTATGTATATGTACAAAATATGTATATGTATGTTTTTTTAACCTGATCTTAAAACGACTGTTTAATGTAGTAAAGTTAATTAAATAAATCCATTTAATTTTCATTAAAAAAAATTTTTTATCACAATGTTTATTTTAAATAGCTGACGTGACATTTCATACAATTTGACAAGACATGAATATGTAGGCTATATTTTATGACTTTGCTTTTTATTAATTGGGTCCTTGTGATTTTTTTTTCTGTATCTGTCATTGTCATTTAAAAGTACATTAAAATGCAATTCATACAAACATGACTATGAATCTTCATCTACTATGACATTTATTTTATTTAATTTTATTTACTGAATTAAAATCATAGCTTTTTTTTGTTTGCCCATTGATTGTTACAAAAATAAATAAATATACTAAAAAGCATTAAAATTGAGAAATGATTGGGTAAAAATAAATGTAGGAGTAAGAAGTTCTTTTTTTTCTTTTTTTTTTACAACAATTTTACTGAAAACGTCTGTGAAATCAAAGCCAGCTGGGCGTACCCAACACTGTGTCATGGTAAGAAAATCCAAAAACAAATGACGCATAGCGTTTTGTTCGGGCCAACCGGATTAACCCTGAGTATTAATATTCATGATGTTGTAATGAAGAAGAAAAAAAAACCTTCGAACGCTCTTTTTTTTTTTTTGGAAAGCTGCATAATCACGCCTATATTCGACGTTCACAAAAGTAGATAGTTAGGCTACACCACTTACGTTTTTTTTAGCGTCACTAATATAAATTATTTGTATTTATTTATTTTTCCAAACACGTGAAACCAACGTGTGGACGCAAAGATTGGATTTCTAAGCAATGTTTATTATGAGAGTCGTTATGTAGGCTATCCTTTTTACTCCTAATTCACATCATTTATTATTACATCCTTGTAAATTTCAAAATCTAAATGACGAGGCACTTACTTTTAATCAATAATTAATAAGAACACAGTCGCATTACAGCAGTGACTTATCAATTAGCCTTAATTGACAATCTTATTAATTAACCTTTCTTTTTAGCATGCAGCGCTATCAAGCCCGTTTGCTGAGAGAGAGAGATCCAAACAACAACAACAACCAATCGAGTGATGAGCCAGAGGTGCCCGTGAAATCTGCGCGCGTGGGGGAGGATGACACCAATATTCCCATCCACGCAAAGTTTCCCAGCATTTCATCTCGACACTTTCTGCCCATCTGTACGCCTGAAGTCCCGTCCAGAGAATCAGACAGCTGCTGATGCTGATGCTGGAACAGGGACAGGGTTTCAGCATCCTCCTCCTCCGTCGTTAGTCGAGTTCGGGCTCTCCACCGCACTGTCGGCACCAACGCTGGAGAAAACACAGCTTTACTGGTAAGATCGCTTTGTATATGGTGAAAATGTGATGTAGAGGTTTAGAAATAACATAAACGGTGTTTTATGTATGTTGTGTCAACATTTGAGCAGATTTGTGAAGTGAACACAGTTTAAAAACGTCTAAGGGAATTTCAAGGATTCCTCACATTTCTGTGTTGAGTAGTTATGCAACTGATTTTCATAATCTGAATCGTGGTATGTGATATGAAATGTGTGGTTTTGGACTTTTAGCTAACCCCCACACACCCACACACACACAAATTTATCAGAAAAGCTGAATTATCCTTAAGGTATTTTAAAGAAACTTCTGCTTATTAGAAAAGTCATTAAGAATGTCCAACAATCTAGCATCTGAGCATAAAGTCAATTCATGGTGCTTTATGGGAAATGTTGATATCTGTTGATGGAAATTATAACTGAAAGGAGGTCAGAGTGTTTTCACCTTTTCCACCAAGTTGGAATTTGAGACTTTATAGAATGATCTAGTTGACAGCTGAATGTGATGAGGAAACAATTGGAGCAAAAAGTAATTCTGGGAAAGAATAATCAGAAAATGCACTCGAGATTTCCACAAGTGGGATTTAAAATGTAATACCTCTCATGTACTTGTCAGCGTGCATTGAAATTCTATAATCTCAAAAGATAATGTGTGCTTCTTGTCAAGACAAGACACGAGGATTGTTTGGTTGTGCAGCTTGAGAGACAAGATTAAGGATAATGTGAGGGTGAGAAGTATGTTATTGCACTTTATATAGACTAAGAATGATGTCTGCCCTTGTGGAGCGTTTATTACGGTTTCTCCCTCCCGGCGGTTTGATTGACAGGTGTGAAAGGATCTCAAGGTAATGGTGATTATGGTTTCCTTTTCTCTTAAAATAGACCATTACTTATTTCCAGGAGACCGTATCTCGATTCAGACAGACCCTTCAGTCGAGACATAGTGGGGTGCAGTTGTCATCTAGCAATAAGTCATCTAAGATTAGTTTCAGACATCAACAACCCTTGCATTATTCGGTACTGAGTTCAAGGGTTTTTTACTTGACCATAGGGATTGTTCTGTTGTGATCTTACATGTTATATGAGCAATACGTAGTATTGAGCTGCATTTCATAGAAGATTTCATGCACAAGGTGGAAGAATGGTAATGGCAGAAAATTATTATAACCTATTTTGAAATAAAAATGTGCACAATAGCAACAGATGGTCATAGCATGTTGGATGGTGGATTGATATACATGGGTCGCACATCAGTGGAAAAAAAAATGCATCTAACTATAAAATTGAGGTAGCAAAATATGGCCATGTCAACCTTTAAAAGGGAGAAGAAATGCCTTGAATATCTTTTGCTCTTGACGCCAAAGGCTCTAATTTATGTGTCATTTTAATGAAGTTAGTCAAACTGGGTTTGCATAATAAGAAATGGAACAAAACTGAAAAATATACTGTAGACTACATTACATGTGGCATAAGAAGTGATTTTGGGTCGGTTCATACTTGATGTCCAATGTAAAATCTTGTAGACCATATTACAGTACATCAGTGTCATAATAAGTGATTTTAGGTTGGGTTCGTTCTTGGTGTTCGATGTGAAATCTCCATCTTGCAGCAAAACCATTTGAGAACCATTGCAATATACATTATAAGGTGTATTTCTATAGACCTTTCTGTAGATCATTGATTGTTCATGTACCTTTCATATTTTCCAGCAGAGGGTGAGGAGGTTCAAGGTGAAAAGAAGTCTTTACGTGTGCTGTGTTGAGGGTGTTCTCAATGGGCAGAGATCATATGTCTGTCTGATGTGAAACCGCATTAGCCTGTGAGGGGAAGCTTCCCAAACTAAAAAGGTGCTGATGAAAACATCAAAGGTCACTGGATGGATGTAACACATTTTGATGGATTGTCAAACTTCATCAGTCGGATGAAGATGACGTGTCTAGAAAGCACTGTTTTTTTGTGACACTTGTGTTATGCTTAAGCCGTCCCCCGGTGCATTTTGAACACCCGTCTCCTAAGGAGCGAGGTGACACCGTGAGATTCTTTAAAGGACACCCCATGGCAGTTAGACAGAGGATGGGCTGAATTTTGAGATGGTGGGGGGCCTTAGTTTTTACCACATTCCCCGTGGCTCAATATCTGACATTTTAACAATGCTCCGAAAAGCTTGTCACAAATTTTTAGTCTTCGCTTTGGTGAAAGATACACAGCTAAAATGCATCTTAAAATTAAAAGTTTCAGTCAAAAATGAAGATTCAGTCATCAATTAGTCACTCTCATGTCATTTCAAAACTGTATTATTTGCTTTTATTTGTGGAATGAATGTGTGATGCTTTTCTTTTCAATATGTAATGGAATACTGTATATATAAATAGATATGGTGACCATATACACGCTACCATTCAAAAGTGTGGGGTGGGTACAGGTTTTTTTTTTTTTTTAATGTTTTTGAAGTAAGTCTCTTATGCTCATTAAGGCTGCATTTATTTGAAGAATAATACAATAAAAAACATGATATTGTGAAACATTTGTAGTTTTCTATTTGAATAGATTTTAAAATGTAATTTATTCCTGTGATGCAAAGCTGAATTTTCAGCATCATTACTCCAGTCTTCAGTGTCACATGATCCTTCAGAAATTATTCTAAAATGCTGATTAATTCATAACAACATTTCTTATCAAAGATGAAAACTGCCGTGCTGCTCAATATTTTTGTGGAAACACAGTGATACATTTTTTTGAGGATTATTTGATGAATATAAATTTTAAAAGAACAGAATTTATTTGAAATATTTTTGCAACATTATAAATGCCTTTGCTGTCACTTTAGATCAATTTAATGCATCCTTTCTGAATAAAAGTATTATTAAAATCTTACTGATCCCAAAACTTTTGAATGATAGTTTTTGCACACACACACACACAAACTGCCATTCGTATGCATATATGCACACATTTTAAGGATATATAATGAAAGTGAATAGTGAGTAGGTTTGAGGGTGAGTAAATGACAGAATTTTCATTTTTTTTGGTGAACTGGAAATGTTCCTTTAAGGAATTTTTATATAAATATTTTCTAGCATAGCTTTATACTTTCTTTCCTGCTATTTTCACGTCCTCCCTCATAATAGCCTACTCTGGAGCCGTAGAGCAGCTATTCTACAACCATGATTTTCTGATAAATTGACTTGTCTCTGTATAGTTGGCCTGCCCAGATGGATTTGAAACACATTGCCTCGGGCCACTTTGAGGTATTTCAACAGGGCTATTACCTTCAGTGTGCAACCTATGTAGTGAACTGCCCTTCCACCATCCTATAGGGAGACTCATATTTATGGAAACTCAGCAGTGTTCCTCAGAACTGATGTAAATCCACTACAGCCGAGAGCCACGCTGTTCCTCTTCAATCAGAGATGCTGAGGGCTTCTCCGGCCATGAACCTACATCCATAACACTGTTTTTTTAACTGCCATTTGCGGCATGTCATTGTCCTTTTGCCGAAGGTCGAGAGAGCTAATTCCAAAGAAAGAGAGATGATTTCCACCTATCCAAGGTTGTTGAATCTGTAATTGCTGTCTGTGTAAAGAGCATCATCAGTGGAAATGTGTTTGTATGGTTATCAGAATAGCTCAGGGATACACTACTCAATCAAAATGTGATTCCATCCCTGACAGCAACAGTAGATCTATTTTTTTATAAAGATTATAGTGGAAAATATTAGATTTTTAGATGGTCTAGATCAGGGGTGCCCAAACTCGGTCCTAGAGGGCCGTTGTCCTGCAGAGTTTAGCTCCAACCCTAATCAAACACACCTGAACCAGCTAATCAAGGTCTTACTAGGCATACTAGAAACTTCCAGGCAGGTGTGTTGAGGCAAGTTGGAGCAAAACTCTACAGGACATCGGCCCTCCAGGACCGAGTTTGGTGACCCCTGGTCTAGATAGAGACCAGAGTTCTCCTTGAGTGTAAATCTGGGATTTCATCATTCGTATTAGCATCGTTCAGGCGAAAATTGAACAAACTGTCAGACAATTTAGGAGAGCATGGCACAGTGTAGGTGTTTTGGGCTGATCGAGATGTTTAGAAAAAAAAAATTTATGTTTTTATACGCTATTTGAGAAAATCACCCTATGAATCATCACTTATACACTGAAAGTTTTCACTCAGAAGTTGTTAGTAAATTTCACAAATAATTACAAAGAAACAGCAAGTAACACATTGGATTAAACATGAAATATGAAGACTGAAACAGTATCTTCTTGTAAAACATTTAGAAAAATCATTTTTACAGCGTATACAGTAGTTGTCACTCTTGTCATTCCAAACCTGAGTGTTTTTCTTCTGTGAAACACAAAAGAAGATATTTTCAAAGTCATTGAATACCACTGACATTGTATGAAAAAAAAAAAACATTGTACGAAAAATCATCAAATGATGACAGATTTTTTTTTTTTTTGGTGAGCTATTCCTTTAAGATTAGATTGGAGTAAGTATTTTAAAAGAGAAAAAATTAAACACTTCAAGACAACAGTCATCTTAAGACCGAAGGAATGCTTTGATTAGGTTTGATCGCTCATGTTATTAGTTGTTGACTCAACAGTACCATCAAGAGTCTGTTTAATCAGAGGTTGTGATAAGCCTGGCATATCTCAAGGTCATTATAAAGCTGTCAATTACCCAAGTGACTCACAGCCGCTAATATGAGTCAAATAGCATTTTAATGTCTGCAAGCACAATAAGGTACCAATAAAAAGGTTGCCGAAAAACATTAATATTCCCCTGGAGAGGCAAGATTCTTCTCTCAGTAATACTTGATGCCTGACAAGAAACTTACAGCTACAGTGAGAATGACAGGATCCAAATCATGAGGAACAAGCTAATGAGCTACTAGAGCTTCTGTCAAAAGAGTCGAACTCTTCAAGGTTAATGGAAGAAGAAAGCACTTTGGCACAATTCACTCTTTTGTTTTCTGACCTACTCAATTGGATCTGACCTTGTAGACT